AAATAAACTGAAATAAATTGTGAATAAAACATGCTCATGGATAGAAGATTCAATGTTGGAAAAATGTCAGTACTTACCAAGTTGATGTGTTAATCTATGCAGTTTTGGTAAATATTCAATTTTGTGGGGTGTTTTTTTTTTTTTGTGGTACTGGGGATTGAACTCAGGACCTTGCACTTGCAAGGCAGACACATTGCCACTGAGCTAAATCCCCGGCCCTTCAATTATGTCTTTTAGTGAAACTCACAACCTTTTATAGGGTGACAATTCATACACATCCTGATGTTAAGTACTATTGGCAATACCTGCTTCACAGAACTTGTCAGATTATGGTGGTTTGTCAATAATTTCTTGGAGATTGAAAGAAAACCTAGGACAACACCTACAGAGATTTATTTTAGGTACAGAAGGCATTCTACTTTGTGAAAAGAAAGAAATGCTGCTATGAATGTGCCAGATTAATAAGGACAATAAAGTGTCATCCATGAGATCATAAATAAGATGGCCAGTATCAATAAGTAACTGATTCTTACATAATATTTTTACATATTTACAAAAAAACCAGAGAAACTTGCCTCAACTAACCATGAGCATCTTATGGTAAGGGCTGGGAATAGGAAGGAAAAACTAAAATCACAGTGATAATAATTTGAATTTCTCACTAGACATGGAGCAGTGTGTGACATGTCCAGATCATCAGTAAGCCAACATTCAGAGGAACCACTATCTCAAAAAATCTGGGCAAAGGATAAAAAGAGAAAACGAAACAAAAAGAAATAGAATAAGAGATAATGTTTATTCTAGTAAAAAATATTAGATAATCCTTAAAAAGATGCATCAAGTAGAAAGAGAAACAACACAAATTCATAAAACAGAATACATAGTCTGTTTTACAGATACAGAGAAAATCTTCTACAAAAATATAATATAAATAATTTCACATTAAGCTATTTGAAAATGTAATAAAACTTACAAATTTAAAGACAGTTAACTTTCCAAAGAAAAAATAAGTTCTCCCATAGCATCATGTCAGTTATCAAAATTGAATTCCCAATTATTTTTTCCACAATTATTGAGCTGTAAATATTTTTATCATTGAACTTTAGAAGCTTTCAGTGGTATATCATATCAATTTACTTTAGAAAGTTGGAAAAATAAAACTTTGGAAAACTCATTTTATTTTATGAAACAAGATACACTTTGCTAACCACACTTTACAATGCAAGTTTCAGAAAAAAAACCCTTATAGGTTTTCCATCTTTTACTAAATTCACATTTTTAAATCTTAGCTTAGAGGTGTCTTTAGGGGGGTTATATTGTGACCATACTTAATGTACATAATATAACTTCTGGTAATAGTACGTGGAATAAGCAATAATCTCAGAAATGAGAAAACATCCTAAAATTAAACATCTTTCCATGATTTATAAAGAAGAAATGGCAAATCAACCATTGCTAAAATGGGAGTAGAAAGTGTCTTAATTACATTAATTAGATATAAACAATGCTAAAGGAATTATCATGTATTCTGGTTTAATATTGAAATAAAAAATGAGACAAGCATGTTCCATATCATCACTTCTACTTGAAAATATGCTGGAGGTCTTGACTAAAGAAATATTGTCATAAAATATATAAAACAAATATTTAATGGAAAGACTTTGTTTCCATTTTTTCACTTCCTCATATTAATTCCATTACCCAAGAAATATGATGTATTATTTTGTGACTATACTTATGTATAAGGATAAGAAATAGGTAAACAAACATAAACAATTGAATTTAGTGCTGAACAAATACAAGGTTAATACACAAATACTATATTTATATCTCACTCATAAGCTATTCAAAATGAAAATTTAAAAGATGATATTTATTATATCTTAAGTTTAGAAATATTCATCAATAAAGTCTGTTAAGGTTTTGAATGATTCTACCAATAAATTATTGAAAAGAGTTTAGACCAAAGGAACTAAAACTTGTGGTTGTAAAAGTATATTTATGATGGAAGACTCAATAATGAAAAGATTTTTGTATGTGCTCATCCAATTTGTCTAGCAATTCAATCTAGTTGTAATCAAAAATTCCATTACACTTGGGATAAAAATGATAATTGTAGAAAGTGAAGGAATTTACTATGCTTGACCTTGAGCAGAATTGCTAATATTTGGTTCCCTAGATCTTAATAAAAAATATGGTGAGGAATCCTCCCTATATTTTTTTCCTTGACTGAATACCAAGACCATTGTTTACAGAGGTTTAGTTTAGAAAGGTAGGTCTTTAATTATTCAGTGAGAAGAGAAAAATACTGTGATGGCTAAAGTAGATATACAATGAGGAAAAATTTGTTTGGTTCTCTTCACCATGAAGAAGCTGATTGGTACTAATTGCAAATTACGGTCTATGTAATTTTTTACTTAATGCCCAGAACAACAAAGTAGGACAGTTCACATCAACTATTCCAGTGAATTTCTGCATTGGGGAAGAGATGTAAATAATGTGAAAGAATAAACTTGGAATGCTAACAGTTTGCATTCCACACTAGATAAGGAGCAGTGTATGAAGTGTCCAGATCATCAGTATGCCAACACTCAGCAAAACCATTGCATTGAAAAGTCTGTGACATTTCTGACTTTTGAAGATCCCATGGGGAAGGCTCTGGCTGGTACCGCCCTGAGTCTCACTGTCCTCACAGCTGCTGTTCTTGGGCTCTTTGTGAAGCACCGAGACACTCCCATTGTCAAAGCCAACAACTGAAATCTCAATTACATCCTACTCATCTCCCTCATCTTCTGCTTTCTCTGCTCCTTACTCTTTGTTGGCCGTCCCAACACAGCCACCTGCATCCTCAAGCAGACCACATTTGGAGTTGTGTTCACTGTGGCTGTTTCCACCGTCTTGGCCAAAACTGTCACTGTGGTGCTGGCCTTTAAGGTCACTGCTCCAGGCAGAAGGATGAGGCAGTTGTTGGTATCAGGGACACCTAACTACATCATTCCCATTTGCTGCCTGATCCAACTCACTCTCTGTGGAGTCTGGATGGGCACTAATCCACCCTACATTGACACAGATGCTCACTCTGAACATGGCCACATCATCATCGTGTGCAACAAGGGCTCACTCACTGCCTTCTACTGTGTCCTTGGCTACCTGGGCTCCCTGGCCCTGGTGAGCTTCACTGTGGCTTTCCTGGCCAGGAACCTCCCAGACACCTTCAATGAAGCCAAGTTCCTGACCTTCAGCATGCTGGTGTTCTGCAGTGTGTGGGTCACGTTCCTCCCTGTGTACCACAGCACCAAGGGGAAGGTCATGGTGGCCATGGAGGTCTTCTCCATCTTGGCCTCTGGTGCAGGGTTGCTGGCCTGCATTTTTGCCCCCAAGTGTTATATTATTTTATTAAGGGAAGATAGACTTTCTTTGCCTAAATTCAAAGATACAATATATACTAGAAGTAAAAATCCTTCTTAAATTTAATTTAATAATGTATTTTTTTCTGAAATACATGGAGGACCCTGAGGTTAATCAGCACCATTCATTTAGAGAAATGTTAAATAGCAATATGGGTTTCATTTTAATGAACCAATGGCTTTTACTTCTTTGTGTAGTAGTTTAACATTCAGTACAACATATAGCCATCATCATTATAATGTAAAGTTCTTCTGGATATATTTTTTCCTCCAATAATATCTAATTGCATTTTTATTATGTTTGCTTAGTCTCTTCTTTGATTTTTGAAACTATTTTTTTTGCAGTACTTGGGGTTGATCCCAAGGACTCCAGACTGAAATACATCCCTACCCCTTTGTAATTTCCTTCTTTATTTTGAGGAAAATTCTTGTAAAGTCTAAGTTGCCAAGGGCGGCCTTGAACTTGAATCCTTCCAATTCAAAATCATGGAGAGAATAGTACATCTAATTATTCTAGGGTCAATATCCTAATCAAGTGCTATGAAAGATGTAGACATGGGAAAGGAACCCAAGCAGGTTTTCTAACTAGTGTATGTGAAGAAAAACTAAAGGACACAAGAATATGCAGTCTTGGTAAAATATGGTTAAATGTGATAGGCATGGTTGTGGACTTCTGTAATTTCAGGTATTTCTGAGTCTAAGATGTGAGAATCACTTGAGCTCATAAATTGAAGAGTATTCTGAGAACCATATTGAGAACCCACTTGTATTTAAAAAATAACAAACACACACAAAATGTGTTATATATGTGTGTGTCATATATATTATGTGAATATGTGTCATAAATTTTATTTGGATTTATAAATATGGTGTGATAAAAACCTGTAGTCAATGCTTAAATTAAAACAAATTACAATAGAAGATACTTTGCCATTAATTTTACCCCATAGACTCTACCACATCTGAGGGACACCGCATTGTTCTTCCATCTTTCTGAAGCAGTTCTGGAAGGCCTTTTTTTTATGAATGTCTTTATCTGCTCTGCACTGGCTAATAAAAATTTTTGTCTTTCATGGTTATTTTTACTCTGGGTGAGAGCCAGAGTTGAAATGGTGCCATGTTTGGTGAGTAAGACTTCTGAAAACATAGAGTAATTTTTTGAGCCTATATTTCCATCAGATGACACTAAGGAGTAACATTCATTGTATTTTTTAATCACATCTTGTAAAGACACTGAGGGCAGATGACTTCCAGAGCTGCTCAGATAGTCACATAAATGATAGCACAAGACTGTTTAAAGAAAGAGCAAGTATGGATTAATGACCATGTGTCTTTTATGCTAATAAACTTTTAAATTAAATATTCACTGTATTTCAATCACAGTTCACGTACATAATGAGCAACTGGAGTGAGCAGGAGGGTAAGAAGGAGGGGATGGTGAGATTGATAGATGACGTTTTCTTTTGGTGATCAAAATGAGTCATTCGCAGCAATTGTGGGAATCATCTAGAAGAAAACATTCCAGGACAAACAGGCCTTGTGTGGGCCATCGAAATGGAACATGTTTAGAAATTTTAGATTCAGAAGGAGACATATGTCCTATTATACTCATGAATTTTACTCTGTTACTACATTTTCAGAAATGCAGGCATCTTCATTTGGAAATAGGCAACTAATGCCTAAGCAGAACTTTATATTGAGGTTTAAATATTCCTTATGTAAAAACATGAACATATTCTCAATTATTAGAATCATTCGTGTGTTTGTTTTCTTTCAGATACCATAGGGTTAAAGAATTGTGTTAATCTTACTTCATATTATGACACATTATCATCCTTTATCTATCATGCAGTATATTTAATTATTAACCTTATTAGAACTGTAGCTTATAAGTGTCTCATGTACACAAGTGTGAATGGAGGACCACTGCTCTTCATAGGGATTATTAACAAATGGCAGGAAGTAAACACTACTTTCCTAGTGCATCAGAGCCAAAGAAATTTTTCCAGGCTCCTTTGCTTTATATTTTATGATTCTTGCTGCCATTCAGGGTCATGGCACACAACACTGACATTGTGGCCTGGTCATAGATGTGACTTTACTGGAAAGATATTTTACAGCACACTTGCCCCTTGGGACTTGCTATTCCCACAACAGGTTCCACCTAATCTTTAGTGGATTCTGTACCAGTCTCGGTAGAAATCCGTATACAGAGTGGTATGGAAATAGGTATATGTGAGATAGAAGAAACAACATTGTCTGAATGTCTTACCTGAAAGGAGAGAAATGATTAAAGTTGTCCCCAAAGAAACATTAGAGTGTGAACAGTGTACAAGCTCTAAGCTTCTAGAATGAGTGAGGGGGGAAAAGTGCTTGTGTGTCCAACCAAGAATAAATAAATTTGAGCGAAAACCAAAAAATTCCTTCTTGCATTTGGAGAACAATAGCTATATACCACACACATCACTTTATCCTAGGATTTAGTGTCAAGAGGAAAGGTAGAACTATAAGAAAAATTAATGAATAAAAGTATACTT